ATAATTAAATAAATAATGTCTCTACAGTGGCACCCGAACTAAAAGGGTGGTGGATGATGATTCGCCACCCCCAGGATTTGGCGATTGAGTCCCCTAAAACCACACTCGCCCTTTAAAAGGGGGGTGTATAAGGTATTTCTCCCTCTTTCTTAGCATGCCTTCATAGTGTGGTGGTCTGCACGCTGGGCGCGTATTTCCAGAGGTCCGTGGTTTGATTCCCAGCGAAGGCATTGCTCATTTTTCACTTTTCCTGCTTCAAAAAAAAAAAAAAAAACTAATGTCTCTACAAGTTGCAATCCGAAAATTCACAGAATCACATTTTTGGTCTGTAAAAAATCACCAAACTGCACCAAGATGGTTGTGCTAAAGCCAGAAGTACCATTTTTTATTTATGGCTATATATTTTCTTATTTTTATAGTTTCCTGTATTTACTTTGTAGCAAGTGGTCACAATCTAAATACAGACATTTTTATGATGGTTCCAACTAAACATACATAGCACAGTAGTAGTAAATTTCAAACAAGTATTCATATGTCCATTATCTTGCTATTATTTTCACATAACACATGATATGCTACATATAATTCAAAATTTTATTGTCTTCTTCTACAGGAAATACTTTGCTTTATGAAACCCTGGGTGTCTTCACATATAATACCTAATCTACTATATAAAATGCAAAAATATATTGCTTTCTTTTGTCTTGATAGCATTCATACATGTGATTGTCTTTGGATCTTTAGGGTAGAGTTTACAGCAGCTAATCTTTTATTAAAAATCATGTTGTAAGTTTTCTAAAAAGTCATTGTTTATTTAGATATAGTGATTCACAGAAACAATCTCTTAGTGATGAGTTACACTGATACTTATATATTAGCATAGGCACCTCAGAAGGTGCCAAATTTTCAGAATGCACTAAACTGTGGCAGTCATTTAAATAACAGTTCTTGAGTAATTACAAGCAAAGTTATCATTTTCATATGCATTTTTAAGGAGGGGGCTTGCTTTCAACGATTTTTATACTCAAATTGTAACATTTCTGTTTAAACTCAAATTTCAAAAAATGTGCATGTCAGATTTGCGTACAGTAAAATTTCTCCAGGAATATTATTATTTTGCTGCAAAATCACTAAAAGGAAACAATTATTTTGAATCTATTCTTAAAGCAATCTCCATAAAATTTCCACCAGAGTAAAAAAGAAAAAAAAAAAAAAAAAAACCTGCTTGTTAGTAGTTATTATTGATTGTCAGGATAAATTTCTAAATCAAATGTGAAGTATTTATGTATGTATGTAATAATATTTTGCATTTATAAGTCATCATTCTTTTTCTAATGTTAAAAAAAGGATCTCTAAACTGTGTCCAGGTGGTTGTACTGATACATAATTTTCAACATATTTTTGACAGTAGCTGCTTAATGAAACAAATTTTTCATTTGCAGCAGTTATTGTTTGGAAATTCCATTAAAATTTACATCAAATTGTTATTTTTTGAAGCTGCTTTGCCTCTATATGAACTTTGCTAAATGAGAAGACAAGTGACATCTCTCAGACTGATACAACCTCTTATTCCAGCTATTGTTATATTTCTTTCATATATCTTTTCTCGTGTACAAGTTCATTATATGAGAAGTGTACTACAGTCAAAAGTCGTTAATTCGGACACCCATAATCCGGAATGATCTATAATCCGAACCTCAAAGCTTAAAAATTTCTGCGCATGCGCCGCGTTGACAACATCGCCTAGGCTTTACGCATGCGCGTAAGACTCTTACGACTGCGCTTTGCGTGTGCGCAAGCGCAATACGTTTCGCGTGCGCATTTTATGTATAACGAAAGGTATATAAGCTAAAATTATCTATTTCATTAATGTTGATGATTGCGTTGTTCCTTAATTTTCGAATTGGATCCAGGTTATTATTTTTTGCAGACTTAAGAGCAATACTATAAAAGTAAACTTGAACTTTCGATTATGTCAAATAGAATTTTCCGAGTCTGGAGCTCCCAAAGGATCGTACAAACGAAAGTATGTTTCGATGTCCATCAAACAAAAAGTGAATTGCTGCAAAAAATGGATAAAGACATGAAGAAGTGACAGAGAGGTTAGTGAAAACGAAAAAATTTCGATTGACAAGTTAGTCGTATTCTCGGCACAGCAATTAACAGGACTTGAACAGCGGAACTTTGTAACTGAACAAAAAATTATGTCTGTTTATAGAATTAAAGAGAAGTATTATCACATAAAACGGCACTTTAAACAACTTACATTGAAAGAAATGTTTAATAAGTAAACAAATAAATATTAGCCTTTTTTTTTTTTTTTTTTTTTTTGTGTGTAAATTTTGATACCCTTTAGATTATAATTGTTCTTTATTTCTAAATTAGGTTTTCATATTTTTAATTTTAGAATTCTGCATACCATCTTACGAGATTTAAACGATGATCTATAATCCGGAAAAATCGATAATCCGGAATCGCGAAAGTCCGACGAGTCCGGATTAACGACTTTTGACTGTACTAACTTTTTGACAAAATATCAAATGCCTGGAGATATTGAATTGCTTCTGCTTTATTTCATGGCAGATCCAATAAGGCATGATGCTAATGCAATAAAATTTAATACGAGAGAAACACTGTTCTAAGAATTTTTGACAAGGAAGGATAGAGTTACTGTAAAAAAAAAATGATTAATTTAGATATGTGCTCTAATTGGTTTGAAGTTAACAATGGAATCAAAAAGAAGCTGTATTCTTACAACAGGCCATATCTACAACCAGGCATACTAGGTCTTATCTACAACAGCAGGTGTCCTACCCTGTATTTCCCTTTTACTATAAGTATGAATCATGATTTGGCCTTGACTGGTTCCCTCTTTGATACTATTTATATCAGGGTGGCTAACTGCATTCTCCTAACACCCACACCCCTCAAGTGAAAGAAATCAGTGAATATGAGATCTATCAGTTTGCTAATTGTGAGTAGCAGCATCAAGATGACAATAGCTGAATTCTACTGTATTATTGTAGCTAAATTTTGCTTTCTAAACAAAACCTTAAATTTAAAAAAAAGTATTTAAATAAATAATAACAATTAATAAATGTACTTTTATATAGGGCCAAAAGGGAAATTGGAAAATTTAGCATTATGAATTCTATACATATATGAAAAATGAAAGTGGAAAATTGGCCATAAGAAAAATTCTGCATTCAATGATGAAAAATTGTTTATTGTATGTTTTTGTATAACATAAAATTTTAATAATCCTTACATATCATTTTATCAATTTATTTTAATTTAGAATATTTAAAAAAATGTGATAAAATTTTTTGATGACAATTGTGTCAAAAATTAAGCTGGCATGTAGGGGGGATAGAAAGGAAGGAAGGAAGAAAAAAAGACGTACTTTGTACCAAAAATTATGTTAAAATCAATACATTTAAATCCCAATCAAAATCATAATTAATCTGAAAGAGATTTAAAAAAATACAGGAAAGAGGAATATATTATAATTAATAGAAAACTACTATTAATAAATTACTTGCAATTTTAAATAGTTTAATCAGGAGAAGCTCATTTGGTAGCATAAATGAAATCAGTACTCAAAACAAAAAGTACACATGGTAAATAATAGAAAAATAAACATCATTAGAAATGAAGGCTAGAGATAAAGAATATGATTTACAAGAAAACTTGAATAGTGTCAGCGAGTTCAAATTCATGTAAAAATTTTAAAGACTTTTTGCTTTTTGGCAAATTTAACTGACATACATCATCTGTTTTCATTGCTGTTATCCCATGTCCTTTTCTTTTTTACAATTTTATTTTTCACCAGTAGTTTATGACTTTATTTTCCCAATCGTTTCAAACAATAAATGAACTCTTATTAGATACAACCCAATTAATCCACATGTAATTTTGATAGTGCTTCCTTTAATATTTACTTTGAGTTTAAATATATGTAATACATTTTAAACACCATGTATCATTTTATCATGTCATATACAGCATAAATTAAGTATTTTTAAATAAACATTCATCTGAAACTTTTATACTTCTGTTTTCAGAAATATTTTTTAGATCTAGTATATTAGTTTAGCTATTAATTAAAAAATAAAACACTATACTATATAGATAGTACATGTATAGACAGTTTAATAAAATAGTATATTGGTTTAGCTATTAATTAAAAAATAAAAATGCAATTTTTACTTATTTTTGGTCTTACATTGAGAATCCTTCTTATGATCTTCAAATGCAATTATGCGAAAGTAATGTACACATTTATGTTTCGTTAGGCACATTTCCAGAAAGTCATCAAGGTAAATTATACAACACATGCTTAGCATTTGGTCCAAATGGAGATGTTTTAGCAAAGCATCGCAAAGTTAGTATTTCATTTTTTCATATTTATCTGATTGCTGATAATAAAATATGGATTACCAAAAATATAGGAATTTTAAAAATTTCATACAAAGCCTGTTTCAGCCATTCTTTTAAATACTGAGATTTTGGACTAACATTATTTCACATATTTACATCAATAAATGATAACAAGATATATAAAAAGTAACAATTTAATCATGGCTGATTCAGACTTAATTATTTTTAAGTTTAAAATAAATTTGTCAAGTGATTAAAATTACAGTTTAATTTTTTTAATCTTAATTTTATACATCAAATCTTATTTTAGATGTATTCATATGTTATAAATTTATAGTTAGTGACATAAATTTTAAGTTTTATTTCCCTAAACCAAAAACGCTGAGAAGGAAATTATTATTCTGTGGACACTATAATTTTTACTTATTAAAATACATATTGTGCTCTAAGAATTTAATTTTGATATTTGTCGGAATTCATAAAGGAATTGTTGTCAGTATTTCCCATTTTGCTATGAAAGACCAATCCCTCTTTTTCATCTTAAACCTTGGCAGTATGATGGTTACTACAGTCTGATCACGATCCATAAATCAAGGGTGTAGTTTTAATTCTCATGTAAAGCTTCGCATGCATGAGAGTAGTTATGGGGGTGTAATATCAGTTACCAGCTCTAGTACACCATAAGCAATATTCTTATAAGTGAGACAACTAATTGACTGAAGAGTTAGGCCCTAAATTCCAATCAATGCTTAACCAATGAATATCTACCATTTAAAAAATCATTATTTAATTATTCTATTACTTTGTGAATTTAGCCACACTTTTTATTAAAATTTTTATAATGTAAAATTAGGGTATGGCTTAAATTCAAAATTAACATCTTACTTCTCAATAAATTATTTAAAATCCTATCATTTAATTACTACTATCAAAATACGAGAGGTGATCCAAAAAAACGTTTGCAAGGCAAATGAAAAAGTATTTATTAACAATAGAAACAAGATACAATGGGAATCAAGAGACACATCTGGCCTTCACTTTTCCACATAGTCGCCAAACCTGTTTAGGCATTTGTCAGAACGTTTCGACCAACTTGTTTATCCCGTCTTGGTTAGTAATCGGGGCCCTGCTCATTGAGCCATTTCTCGGCAGCTGTTTTCACTGCATCGTGTGAGGTGAACCGTGTTTTGTTCGGATAAGTATCGCTTCAATGCTGGCAAAAATGAAGTAGTCACTTGGAGCCAAATCGGGGCTTTATGGGGGAGTGATTCCAGACCTCCCACTTGAACCTTTTGCAGCAATTCCTGAGTCTGGTGAGCTGTATGGGGCCTGGTATTGTCATGCAGAAAAATGACGCCTTTGCTCAGTAATCCAGGCCGTTTGCGTCGGATGGCTTTACGCAATTTCGTTAAGGTGCCACAATAACGATTGGCCTTAATAGTATGGCCACGCTCCAAATACTCGATTAGGATAACACCAGTCATATCCCAGAAAATGGTTGCCATCACTTTACTGGCAGAGGATGTAACCTTAAACTTCTTCCTCGTCGGTGATCCAGCGTGTTTCCACTCCATCGTGGCTCTTTTGGATGTGGGGGTGAAGTGATGAAGCCATGTTTCATCACCGGTAACGATGCGATCAATGAAGTGTTGCCTATCTGAATGGTATCGCTGAAGAAATATGCTCTGCAGACAACGCACGTGGAACCCAGCGGGCACAAACTTTGGAATATCGCAACTCATCGGTTACGATACACTGAACGTTACCATAACTCAGGTCCAACTCTGAGGCAATCTCATGCACGGTTACTCGTTGATCCTTTTGGATGATTTCTTCAACACGTGCTGTGTTGATATCCGTCCTTGAAAATCTTGGACGGTCACTCGCTTCCATATTGCGGTTGTCCCCATGCTCCTTGCCCGCTTGATAAGAACAATACCATTTCGCTACCTGTTGTCTACTCATTGCTTTGTCCCTGTATACCTCAATGATTTGTCTGTGAATTTCGGATGCGGCCACATTCTTGGCCATAAGAATCGAATTACGGCTCGCACCTCTATACGAGACCACTTTTCTAGACGTCGTGCCATTACTGTCGCTCTTAAGTGTCTGCGTACTGACGCTACTTACTCGTAGAACCGCTGTAGGACAACTAGCGCCATCTGTCAACCACCCTGGGTGGAAATATTCGCTCTACAATTATTACGTTTCAAATGCTTCTGCTTGTAAACTTTTTTTTGGATCAACCTTTAAATTACAGTAATATTTAAAATTATTTTTAAGTCAATCTTGAAGCTTTTGAAATTGTTTAGTAAGAAAGTATCCATTCATTTATATGGACAGTTATTATTATTCAGCAATAAATGTTGGAAAAGGGATAGAAATATACATGATCTCTGTTTTCAGGAGAAATGTCTCACAATCTAATTGGTAACATGGAAAGAAGATGCTAAGTATGCATTAAGCAAAGGGTGGACATATCTGCTGTTATAATATTCACGTCTTGAGTTACTTCTGAAAAAGCTATTCTTTCCCTCCCTCTTTCAATCTTTTCTTTTTTTTTCTTACAAAAATTAATTGAATGCATATGTAAAACGGTGTGTAATATAATCAACATTTTATCTACATCCGATCTCCCTCTCCACCACCACCCCCAAAAAAGTCCAGAAATTATTTATTAACTCAAGAAAGGTTCTATAACTGAAAAAAAAAATTTCTTTTAAATGTGTTATTTGTCTTAATTATACATATAAACAGTTTACTATTTGTGTTTTCTGTAACAGGTTCACCTCTTTGACATAGACATACCTGGTAAGATAACTTTCAAAGAATCCGCAGCTTTGACTGCAGGTGATACGCTAACTATGTTCAAAATTGGTAAGTGAGCTTAAAAATCTTCAGAATTCTTTCGATCTAATTATTGTTTTTTTATATTAACTGTATAACTTTTAGGTAAGTGGAATGTTGGTTTAGGAGTTTGTTATGATATTAGATTCCCTCTCATGGCAAATTTGTATGCTGAGAAAGGTGAGTATTGCATTTATATCTATAACAGTTTCTTCAGTTTCATTATATTAAATTTTTTATTCATGCATATTTGGACTTTTTTCATAGGTTGCCAGCTTTTAATATATCCTGGTGCTTTTAATATGACCACGGGTCCAGCACACTGGGAACTTCTACAAAGAGCAAGAGCTGTAGATAATCAATTGTATGTAGCTACTATTTCTCCAGCTAGGGATGAAAATTCTTCTTATAATGCCTGGGGCCACAGTTCACTAATAAGTCCTTGGTAATTTAAAATTTTTCATAATTTTGTCCCTCAACAATCAAATAACCCTATTCTTTCTTTAAATTTCTAATACTTTGCATTTTGAAATGATAGCTAATAACTGTTGCTAGATCAGTTGTGTATTGTCTCCATTTACCAAATATTGTCTGAAAGTTTGTAGGGATGATCAGGCTTTTTTAAGCAAGAAGCACGTAAATTCAACTGCGTCCTTGCTAATATCCAAATCACAGATCTTTCAAGCTAGCTGGATATGCAAACCACTTGCATATGCAAACCACTTGCATCATGAAAACACACACATAAGGAATATAATAATTCCTTCACCCCCCTCCCGTAATTAACAAGCAAATAGTGAGAGGTATGAGATCAAATCCAAGTGGTGATAAATTGCCCACCACATTTTAATTTGGATATCTTATAGAAACTGTTAGATTTTATAGAGCACAAAGCATTAAAATCCATCTGTGCTGGGATTCAAACCACAGATTTAACAGTGCCATTTATACAGGGTTGCCTCTCAAACAGGAGAATGAAATTCCGTGACATTTCCAGGTGTGTTTTAAGAAAATTCCAGTCTATCCACGTAGCACGTTTCGGTTGTGCTGAGAAGTAAATTAATTATGGTACGACTTGAAAACACAAAACTTTGCCAATTAATATGACTTACATATAATATATACATATAATCCCCAAAAGCATTACTATTATAACTATAATAGGAGTTGTTTTTTTTCCACTGGAAATTAAGATCAAAATCTGCCTAATCTGGATTAAAAAATGTCTTTTTTTGCAGATATTTTGCAGCTAAATAAAAGAAAGATATATATTTAATGATATTTTTAAATAAATTCAGATATTTTATATGTATTTAGCAGCATACATTATAAGGTATTTCTCCTGCCTTCTTGGAGTGCCTTCATTGTGTGGTGGTCTGCACACTGGGCGTGTATTCCAGAGGTCCACGATTTGATTCCCGTCGAAGGTGTTTGCTCATTTTTCAAGTCTCTTGCTTTAAAAAAATTCTAATGTCTCTACAGTAGTGCCCGAACTAGGTTCTCCCCACCCAGGATTTGGCGATTCGATCCCCTTAAAAACCCCAGTCGCCCTTTAAAAGGGGGAGTTTATAAGGTATTTTTCCCACCTTCTTGGCATGCCTTCGTGGTGTGGTGGTCTGCACGCTGGATATGTATTCCAGAGGTCCGCGGTTTGATTCCCTGCAAAGGCGTTTGCTCTTTTTTCAAGTAACTTGCTTTCGAAAAATCCTAATGTCTCTATAGCATAAGCAAAAAATATGTGCATTAAATTTCGTAATAGTATGTCATTATACTGGTAGAATTAATTTCAGGTTTATGGCAGAGAAAATTGCTTAATTAATAATAAATAAATTTAGAGGGCAGAAGCCACATTAAATGGTGCAGATAACTTTAAATTAAATTATTTAAAGATTGAATTACATTATTTTGTATATTTATATAATATTAAATTATTGGCGAATATAGTTATATTAAATGGTTAGCCTAGATGGTCAATTGATATTTTATTATTTTACTGCAAAATGACAAATAAGGCATTTATTAAAAAGAAAAAATCTAATGTGTACACCACATGACTTCCTTGTATGAAATATTAAATTATGCACATTTTTTCTTGCATTTCATTTAAACTTATTGGATTGAATTAAATCTACTTCATCGACAGAGCATAAATCACAATAGAATAAATGCACTCTTTAATATTCACTGTATTTGTTTACCATAGCGACACTCTGGTGCTAGGTTCACTTAACAGCATTATATTTCGTTCAGATTATAACTCAGAATGCACAAAATTTATATCATTAGAAGAATTATCTAATCGTTGCCACATGTTCTATTCAAATACTATAATAAAGCTAGAATAATGTATAAAAGAAATTAAGCAAATAAACCAAAAAAGAAACAGTTTTTTTACAGACGATTTAGTATTTCTCATTCAATTAATTTAGTTCACACTTCGCGACAAGGCAAAAATACATAAAAACTCAAAATATCTAAATTTACGAAGTAAATCTTAAACGCTTATTTCCTCGAATAATTAATTCCAGAATGGATTAAGCATGATTTAATTCGCAATTACAAAAGAAGGCATTATCTTTGTTATTGCAAAGCTTACTTTCTCTAGATTGGCAACAAATCTACTATTCTGCTGTTTCAAATGCAAACAAGCAATGGCCGCCATGGAAAAATTATTAGGCTTAGCGGCACTTAAACAACTTTTAAATTGCTGACAATTTAAATTGCTACAAACATTGCATGCAGATTTACTAAAGGCATAAAAACCTTAAGCGGAAGATAAGAACATACATAATTCAATCATTTTTAAAGCAAAAAATTAACAATTTACAAACATAAGAATAAAGAAACTGAGATCACTGTGCCGAGTAACAAAGTGGATATACAGTGGTGGCCAAAATTGTGGACACTTTTTGGAAATTTTTATGTTTTTGAAATTTGTATGCTTATAGAAAATGTTACGTTTCGCAAAATGCAAACTTGTATATATCATTTTAAAGAGAATTTATTACTGAATTCAATACAAAACACAAAATTCAATTATTTGCAATACAAAAGTTATATGTACTTTAATATAAATAAAAAACACAGTTATGAAGTAGTTTGTAATGTCTAGCTTTCCTGGCCAATCACTGTTCTTGTTCTGAGAACCAATCAAATGTTAGTAATAGCCAGTAGAAGCTGACATCATGTTTACACTTGAAACAATTCATTATTTTGCTTTGTTCTGTAGAAGGAGGACCTGTTTCTGATACACTGCAATTACAAGTAGGAATTTTTGTAAAAATTTTTAATATTTAGTCAAGAAGCAATGCCAGCATATAAAAGAGTAGATTGGACACCTAGGAAGAGATGTAATATTATTGTGTTACGAGAAAATGGTCTTTCCTATGCTGAAATTGCAAGACAGGTGGGTGGTTCAGTGACTACATCTGGAGTCCGAAAGTTTTGTTTACAATATCAGGAGACAAATTCAATAAAAAACAAAGAAGGAAAAGGCCAAGAAAAGTGCACCACATCTATTGATGACAGAAGAATAAAAAGACTATGTCTCCAAGACAGAAAAATGTCATCAGCGGCCATCAGAAGTGATCTGAATGATGCTGGTGTTTCTGTCAGTTCAAGAACAACCAGGAGAAGATTAACAGATGTTGGACTGAGACGTAGAATTCCACGAAAAAAGCCTTATCTTAATTTTCAGCAACGAAAAAAAAGACTACAGTGAGCAAAGGAACACATTAATTGGACACATGATCAGTGCTCACAAGTTATATGGAGTGATGAAACTAAAATATCGTTATTCGATAGTGATGGGCGAAAATATGTAAGATTTAGAATAGGAGAAGAGACATCCTGACTGCATTCAAGCAAGTGTGAAGAACCTAGTTAGTGTTATGATTTGGTCATGCATGTCAGCAGATGGTATTGGTCGCCTTCATGTCATCGATGGAACACTGAATACCAGAAAATACATTGACACTATTCTAGAACCAAAACTTCTACCTTCCATCAGAGATCTCTTTCCCAACAATGCTTCGTTTATTTTTCAGCAGGATTCTGCTCCTTGCCACACGGCCAAAATATCGAAAGAGGGTTTCGTACAAAGAGCATTAAATTGTTGTCATGGCCAGGAAACAGTCCTGACCTCAATCCTATCGAAAATTTGTGGCACCGTTTGAAAATTCTTGTCCGAATGAGGCGCCCATCAAATAAAAGGGAACTATTTGAGGCTATAATTGTTTCCTAGCATCATGTAATAACGAAATAAGAGCTTAAAACTCTTGTCAGCTCAATGAAACGTCATGTGAAGCTGTAATCAAAAATAAAGGGTACCCTACCAAGTACTGATAACTCACTGCAATCATCACTATCTAATGTATATCGATAACTATTATCGTTTAACTTTTTGTATTGCAAATAATTGAATTTTGTCTTTTGTATTAAATTCAGTAATAAATTCTCTTTAAAATGACATGCAAGTTTGCATTTTGTGAAACGTAACATTTTCTATAAGCATACAAAGTTCAAAAACATAAAAATTTCCAAAAGTGTCCACAATTTTAACCACCACTGTCAACATTTTGAGACTACTCATTTTTGAATTATGCGAGATACGTATGTACATACGTTCGTACAGCGCCACGAAAAATTCTCTTCAGAATTCATTTGAAAGCAGTTTTATAATTTTTTTTGGAGGAAAAGAGTCTTTTATTCTGTCCTTCCATACAGATGTTAAACTGCATTCGATAGCGGTGAAAATGGATATTTTCGTTGAACTATGCTGCCTGAAACTTTTTGCGATCACAATACTTCCTTTTTTGCTTCGTACAAAGAAGTAAAAACAGAAGGTTTAAAAGATTTTTCGGAAAAATCCTAGTAACGGTCTTGGCACGATATTGAAAATTGTCGCCAATACCAAAATGATCCGTTTACTGCTTATCATAATGTAGCCAAATCCCATGTGTACCGTATACAGTTGTCTTTAATCCGGACCTCAAAGCTACAAAATTTCTTTGCATGCATCAACCCATAATGCATTAATGCATGCACATTCCTTTACGCATGCACATTGTGCGTTTAATGTGTAACAGACGGTATAAGCTAAGCTAAAATTATCTAATTATCTATTTCAGTTAATGTTGCAGATTGCCTTGTTCCTTAATCTTCGAATTGGATCCAGCTTATTATTTTTTGCAGACTGTTAGAGCAATTTTATAAAAGTAAGCTTGAACTTTCAATTATGTCAAAAGGAATTTCCGATTCTGTAGCTGCCAAAGGATCTACAAAGCGAAAGTATGTTCCGATGTCCATCAAACTAAAAGTAGAATTGCTGCAAAAAATGGATAAAGGCATATCCTTTGTTTTTCTAACCATTCTGAAATCTGATTATCAATTTCACGCTGCTCTGCGGGGGTGGGGGAAAACGTCGCGGCGCACAATGAACTGGAA